CTACAAGATCAAGGTGCCAGTGATCAAGTCATTGAAGTACGTTCCTTAGCTAGGGCATCGGGCATTTCATCAACAATTTCTTAAAGTGTATCATAGCGGGGGATCAGACCTGATGTCTGCAATACGATCCAGAAACAAAAAGTGAAAGTGCGCAGATCTTCTGCCATACAACAGCAAAACAAACAAACAAAACTAAACAAACAAACAAAAAACAGGCATGCCGAAATTAACACTAAGGTGATACTGATTGCATTTTGTAATTATGGAGGACTTGACTATAAATTTGTCCCTGAAAATCAATCAATCAATATTTTTATAAGGAGACGCTCTTTCGATTAAGAAACAGGGTAAGGCGAGTTAGGAGCTTTTATTTTGGGCAATTGTTTCTTTTACTCGATAATGCTAGGCCTCATACAGCATTGTCTGTACAATGCCGTGATAAATCCCTCACCATATTCTTCCAACTTATCGCCAGCCGACTTTTTCCTTTTTCCCGAAGTTTAAGATAGTTCATAAAAAGATACAGGTTTGAAAATTTCGCGGATATTAAATTAAATATTACGAGTATTTTCCGAACGGTTAGTTTCAACGCCTATAAACAATGTTTCGATGGCAGTGGAAAAATTGTATAGACTCCTCTGGCGATTATTTTGAAGGGGATTAAATTTATTTGAATGTTAGTAACCTTTTTCTTATTTATAAGAAATTGTCCGTTATTTTATGGGCGCACCTTGACATATATATGATGATTTGGGATGACGCATATAGATCTTGAAGCATAAAATAGTAGAAGCTTACAGTCATGGCAGATTTTAAATAGTCATTTTGTTTTAGTTAAAAATTTTGTAGCCACAAATGTCTTGGCACACTAGTTACGATTGGGCGGGAGGAAGAAAGCAGCGCAGCAGCGTCTAGAAGCAAAGTGCGTAGCTCAGGATGAAATCTTAATTCGGAATGCCTTTTATTCGGTTTCATATGATTTGACTGGATAATTAGTAATGGTGTAAAACTATTATTGTTTGTTTGAAATTTAGTTCCATTTACGTCACTTGCGTTATGTAAAAGTTATGTGATACGTATTAATCTCGAAATGATACAATCCAGAAAAAGTTATTATAAACAATTGCTTTTTTTAGAGGAATAGAGAGGGGGGAATAAAAAATTAAAATGAGAAATTCAGGGACTATTGCTAATTTAAGTTATAATTTGATTTAAGTTTTAAGTAATAATTTTGATTTAGATATTTTTATCTTATATATATATATATATATAGTTATAGTTATTTATTAGCATTTACATTTTACATTATTTTGTTCTAAAATTATGTTTTTTGTCTCTTCGTTTCTTCCCCGCATCAACTACATGCAGGTGCATCAGCGATGCTGTAAAGTTTGAGTAGCGCTGACGATAATTTAACACCTCCTCTTGGAGCAGAAATTTTAAATATCTCTATGAGCTGAATGAGCTGAGAATGAGTACTCAGTAATGATGTTTTACACGATATCTTTCTGCATTATATTTGAAGCTTTTTACACGTGATTTATTAAATTACGAAAGATCACACGCGATTAATTAAATTACCTTATGGTCAAAGTCCGAAATCTGACTAATTTGTTAAAAGGCCGGCTACTTTTACCAATGGCAGGCCAGTGATTGCTAAATCTCGAAATACGCAATAATTTGCCAATACCTCAAGAATCTCTAAAAATATTTTATACATTTCTTCGAATGGATATTAAATAAATGAATTGCATCATTATATTATGACTTCTGTGGCTATCAGATGTATTTTTTTTAAAGATGAATTTTATTTCATCATTAAAAGGAAAATTTCAGAAAATCCTCATTATAACAGAAGGCCATTTCTTATTTGCATTCAGTTTTTATTATCTATAAATTATTTCTAACACGCTAGTTTATTCCCCAAACACTTTTGTATTTGTTGGATCTGTAAGTAAAAGATGGTTATTCCAGATACCTTGTAGTATTGTGTGGCCCCAACTTGTCAGCAACTGTGGTAGTGACTGCTATGAACTGTAAATTTACACAAACACGTAAAAAGGGCTTAAAGCCCTTTTTATTCCACTTTAGAAATAACAGCTACGTTCACTTGACGCTCACAAACTACGCCGACCCGGCGGTTTAACAAAAACAGAAATGTGAAACTAAAAATTAATGACAGGATGAATAAACAACTAGATCACTACCTACGAGGCTCTGAAATCGTAACTAACATAACCGCGTTCTAAAATACAGCTGAGATTCAGCGAGCTTACTGATTAGGCAGTTGAAAGATTCAGCGAACTGCCGAGATAGGCACACAGGCCGAAACGCGCGGTTCTTAAATTTCTACCTAGCAACCTTCACGTTAGCGATTCAAGAAGCACACATATAATTTCATTTTCCTTCTATTTAAACTCAACTTACTTCTGCTAAAATTTGAATATACTGCGCGTTCTACTACAATTTACATACTCTGGCATTGGCAATTCTAGGGGAAAGTAAAGGCTTGACAGGAAAGATAGCTTAAAATTAAAATAAATGTTAGTTAAAATAAATATAAACCCTACAACCTAATTAGGAATAATTTCAGTTACTATCCTCATATTCTTCATAATGAAGTGTAGAGACATTAGGATTTTTTGGAAGCAGGAGCGATGAAAAATGAGCAACGCCTTCGCCGGGAATCGAACCACGGACCTCTGGAATACGCGCCCAGTGTGCACAACACTACGAAGGCATACTAGGAAAGCGGGCGAAATACCTTATATACTCCCCCCTTTTAAAGGGCGAGTGGGGTTTTAGGGGACCCAATCGCCAAATCCTGGGTGTGGAGATTCATCATCCACCACCCTTGTAGTTCGGGCGCCACTGTAGAGACATTAGGATTTTTTTGGAAGAACGAGAGATGACAAAATGAGGAACGCTTTCGCCACACCATGAAAGCATTCTAGGAAAGCGGTAGAAATACCTTTCAGAAGTAGAGAAGCTTAATTTCCACTCTTAACCATTGATTAGTCAAAGCTCCAAGTAATAAATAATTATTAAAGACATTACTGGTAAATTATTTCTACCTCCTTTCGTTAAAATGTAAAATATATTTTTATTTATATTACTAAATATGATCATATTATTACTAAATGTGATTATACGAGGGTTGGAACATTAATAGTGGCAACTATTTATTTACAAGGAATACAAAAGTGATTCATGTCACCATGTTTTACAGTCCTACAATATAGTCGCCAGCATTGTGTACAACCCGTTTCCAACGATGTGGAAGTCTCAGAATACCTGTAGCAGCGCCTGTTTTGTTGATAGTTTGAATGTACCGATCTACTGCCGCAAGAATCTCAGGAACAGTTTGGAAGCGAGTGCCACGAAGTGGTTCCTTCATCTTAGGAATTAAGTCATAGTCACAAGGGCTTAGATCTGGGGAGTATGGGGGTTGGTAAAGCACTTCCCAGCCCCATCGCTTGAACAAATCAGTCACAGCTTGCGCTGCATGCGGCCGAGCATTGTCATGCAAAATGAGAGGAGCGTTCTGCTGAAAGTGTTGCCATTTTTTTCTCAAAGCTGGTCGGAGATTGTGCTCCAAAAATGAGCAGTAATACTGCGCAGTGACAGTCTGCTGTGGGGGAACGGTATGCGTTAGGATGACACCATCACAGTCGTACAGGAGAATCACCATAACTTTCACATTGCTGGGTTCTGACGAAATTTCAAACGTCGTGGTGACCCGTGATGACGCCATTCGTTTGATTGGCATTTCAGTTCTGGCTGGTACGATTGGGCCCAAGTCTCATCCAGCGTAAAGATACGGCGTAAAAAAGCATCTCCTTCGCACTCATAGCGCTCCACGTGGGTTCGGGCAGCATCGTATCGTAGCCATTTCTGCATTTCCGTCAATTGATGTAGAACCCATCGTGAAGCAATTTTTCTCATGGACAGGCGTTCCTTCAGAATGTGCAGCACAGTCGTATGCGCTAATCCTGTTTGTCCGGCCAGCTGACGAATCGTTTGGCGGCAATCACTGTCCATTAGTGCGGCAACAGCTTGCACATCTGCATCGCTGACACTCGGACGACCTGGCCGCAGTCCTTCATTGAATGCTTTCACCCATCTTGCTATGGTTCTGTAAGGCAATGCAGATTCCCCGCAAGCCTCTTGAAGCCCTTGATGACACTGTTATGCTGTACGACCTCTGGCACATTCAATTTTTATCCAACATCGTTGTTCTTGTTTTGAAAACATCCTAACAACACTTACTTTAGACCGCGAGCTAATACAAGGATTCGTTCTTCGCGTCACTCCGCATGCGCATGACGTAGGCAGGACGAGTCTTTTTGCTGAGAGGTAAGGTAGGTATGTAGTTTACGTGTGGTATACGTGATATTCTTTGGTTTTGTTGCGTAGCGTTTTTTCAGCTGTTTTGCCACTATTAAAGTTCCAACCCTCGTATTATATAGTCGATAAAATATTCATGTAGGCTGGTCATTCCTTCTGTTAATGTACTTTCATGTTAATTTTCAATAAATAAAGTAGTGATGGAAATTTACAGCGTTTTAAGAAATAATTTTAAGTTTATTTTGGATACATGAACCGGTATTTAAGCACCGAAAAACTTCCTTTTCAAATCAAATGGCACTGTAAGCCTGTTTTCGACTGCTATTTTTTAATTCTTCTTAAAATTTCTTAAATACTCATCGAAAATTTTCGCTATCAATTTTCGTAAGGAAGTCTGAAACATTATTTCAACATTCTTTGATTGATGCTTTTATTGAGAATAGTTATGTAGATGGTTTGGAATGTGTTTTCAATCATTATGTGGAAATTTCTTTAATTTTAAACCGTTTTTCATTATTCCCTGAACGTTTTTAGAATGCTAGTTATAATCCGTATAGTTAACTTTTTGTTTTGTATATATGCAAAGAGATTGTTAATTTTTTATTATTACATCACTGTCGTTTTGACATACTCACTAAGCTTGTACTTTTCAGGTCAGAAAAACTGTAGCATCAAAGATGAAGATGAATTGGCCCAAATAATAGGCAAATATAGAATGACTTCTGACTTAGAATGGACAGATATAAAGACAGAAATAAATAATCAAATTAAAAATCCCGTTTCCAAGGACAAAAGTAGTTTCTCTAGCAGTTCTTTAGACAATTCATGCAAGGACAGTATTCCTTCTACAGAAAACGAGTTTATAGACGTTAATCGAAACACAGAGTCGGATCAATGCAATGGACAAGAAATGAATCAATACGAAAAAGTTTCGTACTCTGTAAGTGATTCTGACAGTTTAATTTCAGGTTCTCTAAACGAAAATGATGATGTTTCAGTCACTACTTACTGTCTAGAGATGGTAGAAGAAACAGAAGCTCTTCAAACAGAAAATATTACTGAGGCAATAGATATCAGAATATCTCCTAGAAATTCTACTGTAGAATTGAAAAATTTTCATTGTGCAGATGTGTTTCAGTCGGAATTTTCTTCGATGGCGGATGTTGAAGTTAAAGAAGATGAGATGTTAGACACAGAAAAAGTTTATGAGACTCATAATTTATTACTCTCAGAGAGTGACACTAATAATCAGGGAATCAATGAATGCGTTGTAACGAAAAATACAGAAAACAACATTTGTGTGCAACAGTCTACGAGAAATGGCTGTTTATTAGAAGAAGACATAAGACGACCTCTAAACTCTTCTAAAGCTATCAGCGTTAATTTAGAAAATTCCTGTGAGCCAAAATATTTTACCAAAAAAAATGACATTAAGAACGTAGGAAATACATGCTCATTTTCTGTGGAGAGTAAAATTGCACAAGAGATCAAAGAAATGAAACAACGAGAGGAAGATCTACGTAAAATGAGAGAAATGCTTGCAAAAGAAATGTCAGAAAAGTGCACGAAAACTACAGTGGCATCTGCTAAACATAAAACTTCACCAAAATCACTTTCACCAGGACCTTTATGCGTTGAGCGCGAAACTTTACCGAGTAAAAATGCTGAAACCTCGAATATAAGCCAAAATTATAATATAGCATGTGTATTTGCTCCTAAAAAGAAAGACAATTTTAAGAGGACAGACATTACTCCGAAAAAACAGAGAACGCCAAGTGCCATTTCTAATCAAGAATCTCCAGTAGAAAGAGAAATTAGAATTGCTAAGGAAAGGGAAGAAGAATTAAAATTAGAACGAGAACAAGCGATTAGGATTAAGATGCAGATGGAGTCTCTAAATTTTAATCCGGATCTGAATGGAGACGATCAAGACTCAGTTTTTAGTACAGCCACATCCGCAAGCATTTGTAGTGATTTATCATTTGATTATGGAAGGAAGCTAGTGTCGCCAGATCTGAAAGGATCTAATGGAATACTGTCTCCAGACAGCATCATCGCTAAAAGCAATACAATATCTTATAATTCATCAAATGCAGGTAGTATCTGTTCTTTGGATTCCATTTCACACAGTGAAAAGAACAGCAGTTTAAATGAATTTCCAAATACTTCTCCCCAAAGTAGTGCATCGAAAGACTCATTGCTTTCTTGCACTTCAACCCGGTCTTCTTCTCCTGATTCGTCTAGCAATTCTCTTTCTAAGATAAATTTCCCTTTCAATACGCACCTTCAAGCTTCTAATATTTCAAAGAAAAGTGTGAATATGGAGCGTTTTATTTCTAGTAAAGGGAAGGAAATCGTGTTTAAGAATTCATCTTCAAAACATTCTGTTGACTGCTCGCCTTATCTTGAGATAAAGCCTCCTCAAGTCAAGAAAGGTGAACAATTATCCCAAAAGCGATTTATCACTGCTGCTTCAAAAATTCAAACTGAATTGAAAGAGATGAAGCAAAGAGAGGAAGAATTGAAGTAAGTAATATATATTCTGCAGATTTAATATGTATTTCAAATTCTATGAATGTATCAAACGTTGTCCTTCGGTGAATAAGTGTGCAAAAAATGGGATGCATTTTGAAAAATAATATTTTGCTAGAACAAAGTATATTGCACTTAGTAGTATAGAAACAACCACTGAGCTATAGGTTTAGTATTATATAAAGTTCTATCTTATATTAGCTTTAGGTATAAAAAATTCTATAGATCTGATTTCTGCAGAAAGCAACATTCTATTCTTTAAAGAAAAGAATGCTGCTTTTTAAATGCCAGAGACTGTATTAGAACGCTTCTCAAAATTTCTGGACATCTTAAAATCAAAGCTAGCTAAGGAAAAATTTTGCTTCATTTTAAGTCTAGATTATTTTCTTTTGCTTACTTAGTTATAAATTCCTCTTTAACACCACTCCAGCTTCATAATTTACATCGAAGATATCAAAGTTTTATGTAGTTCACGTATTAATAGCATACTATTTGCGTACTCGTCTGAAAATAAACTTCTTTTATAAGTTCCTTCCAGAGCTGATCTATTTAATATACGGGAAAAACTACCATCAGTTAAGTGAGATTAATATAAGCAGTTAAACATCTTCTGATTAAGAGATATCTCCAAATTTTAAAGCAATGCCATCCCAAGTATCGTGCTTTACTTTTTTACATAAAAATAAACCTTTGTTAAAAAAATGAGTGAATTTTGCTGTTTCTCAATTAAATGCTCCTTTCTTAATATTGCTGTGTTCTCAGAACTTTGAAAATAGTAAAAAACTAACCTCGTATTTGTAAGCACTTATTAATATCTTTTAAATGCTTTCAGGCGATAGTGGACGTCCTCACAATAGTTTCAGAGCTATATAGGAATAAGTTTAATATTAAAAAAATCTATTAATTGATTCACTATAGCAGGGTTTCTTAAACTGTGGATTGCGAGCCCCAAGGGGACCTGCAGCAGGGGGTCGCCAAAAATTTTAGCAGTTTTGATATTTCTTTAACTTATTATAATAATTTTACAATTACCAAATATTTTTACACAATGTATCTGAAAATAGATAAAGATAAGGCAATACAAACAAAGAAAAAAAACGAAAACGTTTCGACGTATTCTTTTTATAATATAAATGTTCATCTTCCTTGCTTTGCACGTGACACTGTCATTTCATCTGTTACTTATTTAAAATTTTCACATTGTTTAATGTCTTAAAATTAGAAATTAAAGTTAATGACATAAAACTGAAATAATATATATCAGTACAAATGGAAAAATTGACAGTTTCACTCACGCGTGAGTCGGATTTGCGCGATTATGGGGTCCCACAAAATTTTTGTAAATATTATGGGGTCTTGGGGGTCGCGAAAAGAATCTCAGTAATAAAAAGGGGTCGCGACTGAAAAACGTTTAAGAAACCCTGCACTATAGTAACAAAAGTCTGTCTAAATAAGAGAAAAAGTTTGCTGAATACATTAACAGCGGAGTCTAAACTTCCGAAATTTCGCAATGAACCTCAAAACGAAAACTATGCTTCGTAATCTTGAATGCGAATTTCTATTACAACAAAATTGCGTTACTCTGTAAAACCTTTTACATACCTTGCACTTCAAAAATATAATGAACTAATTATTGAAGTGATACCATATATGATTTCATTCCGAATTTGGATATTTTGCTCACAAGCAGATATAGTCTACATGATATATTAGTGCCAGATGACAATATTCTACATGATAAATTAGTGCCAGATGACAATATTCTACATGATATATTAGTGCTAGATGACAATATGCAGAGACTTGTTAGATAACAACTCAAGGGATTTTTTTTGGTTATTAATTAATTGGTTGCACATAATCTTAATGTTAACGATACGCCAAAGCAAAGAGTGCATAAAATGGTGTAACGTGCAATGAGTGAACTAAATAAATACATTACGTGTGAACTTAATAACTAGTCGCATAGAAACTGCAATTGGGGATTATTATTTTAATGTGCTTTAATTCATTAAAATAATGGAGCTCGAAATTTCGCATTAAACTTAATTCAAATATTAACTATTTTAACTTCAAATAATTGACACTATTTTCAAAGTCTAATAGTTACAGAAATCAGACTGAGATTCCACAAATTGCTGTCGGTCGTCAACGAGTTACGGTCCTGAGCTTCAGAATAAATATTGGAAGATAAAAGGAATAATTTAATTTAATTTAACTTTGATTTTTTTTTTCATGAAAGCTTTGTCACAGTGGCCCATTTTTCAAAGAATTAATGTCGCTTTTAGTAATATGGGTCAAGTTTTCCAGTATCAGTGATTAATTCTGATCCTCTAATTCTGTATTTAAAAAGAGTATACAAGTGGATTTAAAACCGAGAATTTTGAATGGTATCTTGTACCTGTGATTTAACTGATGCTTCATTGCTATTCATTACTCATGACTTTAAACAAAGCTTTTAAGCAAATCAGAGATATCTCAATAACTGACTGAACCTGTAAGCATCCTAAGTTTTACTAACGTTTATTTTATTTTAAAACTGTACTATCACTTCTTATTTTCTACTTCCGGCCAGAATTAAATGCTTTAATTTGTTTATGCAAATTGTCTTGCTAACGCCCAAGTATTTAAGTTGTGGCTTTTTGCCAAGAGAGAAAGAGAAGGAGATTTAGGAAGCAAGCCGCTTGCCACTGCAGTTTTTACGAGTTTTCACTCAGTTGCTGGTTGCCTTTAAGGCCAGAGGTTTAGCCCTCTTGATATTTGTAAACGTATTGTAGTTTCAGCAGCTCAGCGTACTACATACTTACCCTTTTAAATAAAGGCCAGTCTTAGTGCTAGGCATTTGTATACTAATTCAAAGTTAGCTTTTAGTTAGAGTTTAGTTAGTAGTTTTATATTCTTACGTTCAGACCACAAGTGGTTGGTCTTTGTATCCCTAAGTTCGGGAGTACTTGTAAAGTATAGAAAATAAAGGGTTTCGTATACCCTTCCTGCTTGTGTCGTCTGTTACACACAAATCTTGAACATAGCTTGAGTAAGCTCCCTGTTACTATTCAGGACACATCATGTTTCCAAAGCAAATCAAGAGAAACACAAGTCCTGATAAACCTAGATATCCTAAATTTGACCGAGAGTTCCACAAGGAATAGAATCCAAAGATCAGACTCTCGAAGCTGCTCTTAGGAAAAAGAATTTTGTTTTAAAATTTTTTTAAATGACCCTCTTCTGCAAAGACACTATATTCATATGCATCATATCGTTCCACAAAATATATATACGAGGATTGTACCGAAAGTAGTGTCAAATTCAGCCTAAACTTTTTGTCGACTAATACAGGTCATCCGGATTCCACATGTTGCTAATGTTACTCTTTCTCCATACGAAATCAGCAAATCATTGTCTCCATAGCTTGTTCTCTGTTGGGCAGAAAATTGCATGTCCAAAAGTGCAAAATCAGGCATTTGCGAAGGATAATAAACCATTGTCCAGCCCAGTGTGATGATTATATTAGAGGGCCAAACTAATCGAGATCGAATTGACTTTGATGTACCACGAATACTAGGATGGAAAAATTATGTAATGATGCGAAAATTTTTTCGCGAAATTGCTCAGGGATGTAGGGTCGAGCCGTACCTGTTGATAAGTTACAATATATGGGTGTTTCACTATCTGGTAATGTGATTTTCTTAAACTGAAAAACTGGAATTATTTATTTCGTTTTATAGCTCTTAATCGGTTTCTTGGGCTTGAGCAATTCCATTGTAATCTATGAAGTCTCACATTGTCATAATGCTTATCCTTTAAAGAACGTCTGCTATTATGTTTTCTGATTCCTTTAATGTGATGAATGCCGGTAGTGAATCACCGAAATAAAGTTAAATTACCTAACCTCTTTTGGCGAACATTTATCCGAGCGTTGCCAGAAAACATATGCTAGTGGCTTGTGACTGGTAAACAAAGAAAAATTTCTCCCTACGAGAGTATGCCTGAAGTATTCGATGGCCGCATGCTGCTAGTTGTTCCCTGTCATATGCGCTATAATTCTTTTCGGTTTGAGAAAGTTGTCGAGATTAAAAAGCGACAGGCTGCAACTGCAAAGTCCTATGCATCAACCTGCATCTGCAAATTAATCAGTATCTGGTTTTGGGTACGCCAATAAAAGCGCATTTGCAGTTAATTTTTTGCAAATGTGAAATTCCTGTTCTGAGTTATCTGACCAGTCAACTTTTTTCTATAATTTCTTTTTACGCCTTTTAAATAAGAAGTTAAAAAAATACTTATTGTTTTCTTATATTTGGCAAAACTCGATGGAAAAACATTAAAAATCCCAAAAATCTCTACATGTCTTTAACCGTGTTTGATTGTGAGTAGGATTTGACGTCATTTCTAGTAACTAAGACCCAAATACAGAAATTTCTGTTGCAACAAAAATACAGTTACTGATATCTATAGGCATTTAACTCATAAGCATTCTATAAGTCCATAAGCATTTAACTTTTCGAGTACGATTCGTAAATGAGATTTACATTCCTCTTTGGTATTACTGAACATTAAAATATCATCTAAATAAACATAACAAAATTTGAGGTCACCAAGGATTTCATTCGTAAATCTTTGGAATGCCTGCGCACCTCCATAAAGCCCAAGGTTTAAGTATACAAATTCGTACAGCCAAAATAGAGTGCAAACTGCAGTTTTTTGTATGTGATGTATTTCTTATCGGACAGTGCGGATAAAGATCTATCGCCAGTAGTCTGGCCATTCGATCCGGACTTGATAAAAAACTGAAATTTATCCATATAGACAGAGAGAACAAGTGCACTAAATATGCAATATTAAAGCACTGAGTAGATAGTGGGGGAATATCAAACACTAAATAATTAAGATTATAAAACATGGTAACATGCAGGTACATTAATAAAAAGAAATATAAATATTTTAGCAATTTATGACCAAATACAGAGAGAAAAAGTGAAGAAAAATCTATCAGACCT